AGCTCCATAGACAATATGCAATCAGGTGAAGCAATTCTGGCAAGATAAATAAGTTTATAAAATACTTGAAAATGCCTAAACTGAAAATTTTCTATTTTAATTTCTCTCTACCTGATAGATTTCTAATTTAACTGATAAAAATTATTGAATGACCATTTGGGGAAAGGTGTTTTTATTTTTATTTATTTATTTTTTTTCCGGTACCGGGGATTGAACTCACAACCTTGCGCTTGCCGGACAGGCACTGTGCCTCTGAGCTAAATCCCCAGCCCCAAGGGGAAAGGTGTTTTTAATGAAATTAAACATTGTTTCATAATTATCTCTGAATTTGAGTTTAGTTTTATTCTAGATTATAATTTAATTGTAGTACTTTACTTTGTACAAGTTGTTACTTCAGTTTTATTTTTGTGTTGTTCTAAAAGTGTATCAATAGAAAAAAAAACCAGATTGTCATAAAATATTTTTGCTAGCTTTACAGGTATAAGTAAAATTCAGAGTGTTCTGTGGTCTCACCTTAAGTCCATGATCTACCTTTATATGAGTGATTAATTGGAAGATTAGTTAATTTGCTAAGTTACTTAATACTCAGTCACTTCACATTGTTCAAAAATAAAACATTCCCAGCCTACATACCTCAGGCGGGCACAGCACATCTGAGTCATACAGACATGTCCAGTTTAACTGGTGAGAAAAGTGGCAAAGCCGAGACCCTGCTGAGCAACACTGTGACATCTACTTGCTCTTGTCCCACAGGCTTTTCTTTCATCTTGTTTTTCTTTCTTAGCTTGTTCTCTTCCATTTGGTTAATGCTTCATGATTGAATGCGTGTATCAGTATGTATTTTATATGTATATTTCTGGCCTCAGAAAAGTTTGGGATTTTTTTCTTTTGGAAAAGTTTTTTTTGTTTTGTTTTGTGCTAGTGGGTAGGATGGTGTTTCAGTGGATATCCTGTGCAGACGGATTATGCAGGAAGTTGGCCCTCAGTTCAAGAGAACAAAACAGTGAGTGGGAAGAAAGAAAGAAAGAAAGGAAGGAAGATCTTCTGACTCAGCCACAGAGGCCAGGGAGGAAGGGGGAGTAGGGAATGAAAACGACTGCTTTCCAAGTTGTATTTCTTTTAGTACTTTTGCCTCAAAAATGATTTTTATCCTTTTTGTATTACTTTGTATGTTTGAGAAATAGCCAGTACATTTGGCTTGTATGCCTTTCTAAGTTTACATAGAAGTGCACCGTGGGATCTCATTCTGCTTTCTCCTTTTGTCAAATAGCATGTTTCTAAAGCATCTAACCTGCCTTTAACAGTTGTCCTTTGGGATTGGAGTCCTCCCCAGAAGAGAAGAGCCACATGTTAAGATACGTCCTTACACCCGGAGTCATCAGCACAAATTCCTGATCATCCTGGCTGCAGCCTTTTATTTCATACTCTGTCCTCCCGTGGCATCCTCTATGAGTGTGGCAGTCTGTACAATTTATTCAGTTGACTTTTTGCTTTTTTTGTTTGATACTACTGGGGATTGAACCCCAGGGCTTCTGCATGCTAGCTAAGCGCTCTACCACTGAGCCATACCTCTAGTCCTTTTTTATTTTTATTTTTTTATTTTGAGGCAGGGTCTTGCTGAATTGCTGAAAATGACCTGAAACTTGCAATACTTCTTTAGCCTCCTGAATAACTGGGTTAGAGGCGTACACCTCTACGCCTGGCTCAACAAATCTATTTTTAGAAGCTTCATATATAGACACTGTTTTAAGTTCACTATTCAGTGAGCAAAACAGAAACGTTCCTGTCTTTATAAAATTTACATTCTATTGTGGGGAGTTAGATAATATACATGAATATAATAGTAAATGGTACAGTGTTTGCTAATCATAGGAGCTATGGAGAAAAATCAGGAAAAGAGACATGGGAATGTGAGAGTGTTCTTAGAAATGGATGTATTTTAAAGAAGGACAGTCAGAAAATGCCACACTAGGAGAGTAATATTTGAGTGAAATGTCATGGGGACAAGTGTTTTAAGCAGAAGGAAAAGCCAGTGCAATGATCCTGAAGCAGGGCTGTCCCTGTCATGTTCAAGCAATAGCAATGCAACCAGTGATCAGAATGGGGTAAGCTAGGGAAATGGTAGTAAAAGATAAACTGGGCAAGACAGATTGTGGAGGGCCTTGTAGGCCCTTCAAGGATTTGGACTTTTACTCTAAAATGGGGAGGCATTGAAGAGTTTTAAGCAGAGAAGTAACAGTCTGACTTAGGCTTTTTAAAATGGATGATATGTTGAAAATAAACAATAGGGGGCAAGTCTAGCAGTGTAGAAATTAGTAGCTTAGTGAAATAGCTTAGGTGTGAGATGATGAGGTGACGGGGTGATGGCACGTAGGTGAGTGAGAAGAGGCTAGATTGTGGATATACTTTTGAAGGCAGAGCTAGTAGAAGTTCTGAGTGGATTGGATGTGGTTCCTGAAAGCAAGAAAGGAGTCGAGTGATTACAGAATGTTTGTCCTTGGCACCTAAAATGAAATTAACTACACGGAGAATTCTATGGCAGAGGGGACTTGGTTGGGGTAGGGATGGGGGAACAGAAAATAGTTTTGCATATTAACTTCAAATAGTATTATTAGTGATTTCTTGTTTTTAAGTTTTGAAGCCCAGCACAGTCCCTAACATATAGTAAATTTTTCACTCAAATTGAAATCTTAAACTTTAATGTATTGAGTTTACCAAGTAAAGTATATACTATTTTTTGTTCTGAAGGGTTTAAGTTAGCTTTAGTATCTGCTTAATACTATAACCTCTCTAACTTGGTCCTGGATAGTTCAAAAGTTCTGAGTTGAGGTTTTCTTTTTTTTATATTTTCAAACAAGGGGGCCTTTTTCCTGTAAAAATAATCAAATGTACTTGGAGATGTTGATAATCATTAGAATAATAATTAAAAAACATTGTGTTACCACTGTCACACGCAAAAACCATTTATCGGCATGGATCATGTGGTGTTCGGTGCGAACCACAATAAATGTGAATTTTTTTCCCTGTACTTGCTTTTGGCAAGTCTTTAGATTGTAATAAAAGGCTGTCATTTTTAATCCAGTAGAAATTCTGCTGGAGTTTGTAATTTTTTTTCATTAGAATAAAGAAAAATATAGAATATGCAACTTATTTAAAGAATGTTTCTCATAATATGAGATTTTGTTTATTTGGTAATCCTAAATTGGTTATCTGGGCATACCACTCAGCTGCTCCATTCATTGCAACTGTGTTTACATAAGCAGCAACATACCTATTTTAACTTTTCAGGACATCTTTAACGTAATAGTCTAATGTTAAATAAAATTTGGTTAACTTGAGAATTTTAAACATATACATTATTTCTTTTCAGAGAAGGAAGTTGTCTTAGTTACTTTGCTTGATGCTGTGACAAAATACCCAACACCCAAACTTAAGGGAAGAAAGGTTTATTTGGCTCACAGTTTGTAGAGATTTTAGTCCATGGTCAGCTGGCTCCAAGGCAGGGTGGCGTGATAGACAAGCATCACAGAAAAGAAACAGTTCATGGCAGACAGAAGGTAGCAAAGCAAGCAAGGGGCAAGACAAGCCTCTTTCTGTCCCTTATATTGTATCCAGACTACTGGGATTAGGGTGGTACCAGACCAATCAGTGGACTAATTTAGTGATCACCCACTCTTAATCCTAGCATTGCACCATGAATGACTCACACCTCTGATCCAGCCACCTCTGAAAGAGCCCCACCTATGACTGCATGAGGCTTTGGGGGACATCTAGACACAAGCCATAACAGAAGGCATGTAGTGAAGTGAAACACTCTTAAAGCTGTTGGGAAATTTACAGATTTCAGCCTATAGTAGGAATTTCTATCTGTATCATATAGTTACAAAGATGCCCTACCGCATAGTACTATGGATTGAACCCGAGGCCTTCACACAAAGCTACACCTATAGCCCTATTTTAATTTAATTTAATATTTATGTATTTATTTAGAGACGGGGGTCTTACTGTGAAGCCCATGCCAGCCTTGAACTCATGATCATACTATCTTAACCTCCCAAGAGTTGGAACTACAGGCATGTGCCACTGTTTGGCTTTGAAGCCAGTTTTTAAACACTGAGTACTGTGAATTTTAAGGTTAAGATACATTATATTGTTTCCAGTCACATTTTTGGGTAAGTTAGTTCATTCTGCTAATATGGTACTTATTGAACACATTATTTATTTATTTATTTAATTTTTGGTCTTTTTGAGACAGGGTCTTGCTAAACAGTTCAGGCTAGCCTTAAGCTCATTTTGTAGCCCAGGCTGGTCTCGAATGATCCTCCTGCCTCAGCCTCCCCAGTGCTGGGATTACAGGCATGTGCTACTGCACCCAGCTGGGCACATTATTTAATCTTTGATACCCCCAAAAAAGGATCCAGTTCTTATCACTAAAGAGTACATTGTGAAGTTTAGAAAACAAACATAGGGAGGGACTTAAAATAAAACCACAGATTTAAAGGTTTTTCCTTTTTAAATATGATAAAGCCAATTTTAAATTAAAATTGAATAAAAGAGAGACATAATAGAAAAGTATTATGTGACACAGATGGTTGGATAATTTGCCTTGGCAGATTGAGAGCAGGTACATAATGAAGTTTGGAAAACACCCATAGAAAGGGTGTCTTGCTTTTGAGAGGATGGAGGGCGTTGAGCTTTCCTAGGGGGCAGTTATTGATTCCTAGACGAGCAGCGTGTTGTGAAATGAGAAGTCAGCAGTCCCAAGAAGAGGAGGCTGAGAACCCTCCCAGGTGCACGAGACTGCGCGAACAGAGGCCCGAAGGTGGGCAGCGGCATCGCGAGTGTTAAAGAGGCAGAGAGGGGCGAGGGGAAGCGGGAGAGGGAGGTCCTCACTTACTGATCCTGAAAGGTCTCGGAGGCCACGATGAGGAGACTTCAGCTTGATGATGAACTATTGAGGTTTAAGAAAAGTGATGTGGTCAAATTTTTGTCTTAAATAGATCACTTTGCCAGCTGTGTGGAGGACGGACTTGAGGGAGACAAGACTGGAGGCAGTAGTCCAGGTGAGAGACGGTGGGGATCTGAACCAAGGCGTGAGAGTGGTGAAACAGACTTGAAATAAAATAAAACCCCAGATTCAAGGGTTTTTCCCATCAAACGTTATGAAGCCAATTTTAAATTATAATTGAACGGAAAGAGAGAAACATAATAGGAAATTGTTCCGTGACAGACAGTTGGACAGTTTGACAGTGTCAAGGATCAAGAAAATCACTACTGGAAGAGCAGGAGGTTTCTTGTATATCTGACCTGGGCTGTGGAAAACAGGTGTTCTTTACGATGGTGTTGAGGTTACCTGTGGAGGAAAAATAAATACAGAAACCCTGAAAAAATAGGTCTTACAAGTCTTCAACCACTGCACGTAGAGAAACTCAATGAATCCCCACTTACTGTTGTGTTTTCTAGGACTTGGGTTAAATTATAAACATTTTACAAAAATCTGCCCAGGAAAAGAGATTGGAGTTAGAAAAAAAAAAAAAATTACTAAAACAATGAACAGTTGTAAGTCACTGTAACACAAAAAAATACTTGGAATGTCAAGGATATTCTGTACTAAACCAAGTCATGTTCTTTCACTTACCAGATAATTTTAGGATTGTTTTGCCAGAGGCACTGTTTCTATAATTTTTATATATAAATAGAGGGCCTGGATTTATAAAATGCTTACAAAACTTAACCATTTCTTGTTCTACAATAAAATGCCCTATGTGTTTTATAAAGTTAGTAGTCTTTAAATTCATTTGGAGAAATCTGTGCCTTTGCTATTAATTTATGTCTGATTTTAGTAAATGCATATAAATCAGAGCTAAATTCTTGTTTTGTGGTCTTTTCACTATTTTGTTATATTTTCAACAAATAAATGGCATCTCATGCTTAGGAGATGCTCTTTCTTCATGGCTGCATAAACTGTACAGTGCTGTCCCACTTTGGAGCTGTCGGAGAGACCGGCTGCTGAAACACTGTATGTACCAATTCTTTCCCTTTTTGTGTCTTTCAGAAGCCTTGCACCGCCCCTACGGTTGTGATGTTGAATCCCAGGCACTAAATGAAGCCATCAGGTGGAGCTCCAAGGAGAACTTACTTGGAGCCACTGAGAGTGACCCTAATCTCTTTGTTGCACTTTATGATTTTGTAGCAAGTGGTGATAATACACTCAGTATCACTAAAGGTGAGGCTTCTCTGTAGCAACCTGTCACTTTCTGGCTTTCACAGTGGTTAAAAATAAGAGGCCTGTTTTGGTTTCTGCCATTGACTAAAATTAATTGGGTGACTTGTGCCTAGAAGCTTATGTTTCATTCTTTTTTACCTTGTATAGGATACTGCCCTATGAAGTGTAGCTACTTTTTAGGCTTTATTACAGACAAAACGAGTTAAAGCACCCTATTCTCAGAATTCTGTACTGCATGTAATATGCTAACGTTCATCTACCACTAGGTAAGACTTACCATACATCTGTTCCAGTTGGACTGTGTCTCAGATGAGTCAAAGTGCTGGACTGCAGTGCCACACTCAAGTGCTTGTGTGGACTGACTGCCTGTATGAGAACTGTTTATTACCAAGTCCACAGTGAGACTAAGAACTTGCACCCAAAATGTAAGCCAGCTATATCATTAAGCAAACATTTTCAGTTTTGGGACATGACTTTCTGTACAAAGATAGTAGCCCAGTGTTTACATTCTGGCACAAAGCTCTTATCTCATTGTGGACCAGCTTTGGGTGGCACCGGCCTAGATGATCTAAATGTCTACCATTTTTGTTTCTAAGGGCTAATGAAAGAAATAGTAGAAAGGGTTTCTTTTGTAATAAAGAGTAGAGAGTAATAGAGAGTAGTAGTTTATTTCAGTGGCAAATTCTTACAAAAGGAAATACTAACACCATGACCAAGTAAAATCACCAATTATTTTTTTAATAAGGATGAAAAGCATGGAACTTTCATGAGAAACAGGAAAATGGGTCATTCTCATTGTGCACATGGATTGGACGATACATAAGGTTCAGAATGGGTTTCTGAACCTTCAGATGGTAATAGTTAAATCAAGGAAACAATCTTCTCCCCACTTAAGGAACATATTACCCTTTATAAAAAATTTTTATATACATCAGCCTTTAAAATCCGTCAGATTGGGGCCGGGGATATAGCTCAGTGGCACAAGCGCCTGCCTGGCAAGTGCAAGGTCCTGAGTTCGATTCCTGGTACCAAAAACAAAACAAAACAAAACAAAAAACCAGTCAGATTCATCAAAAGCAGAACTCCTTAAAACTGAGTCCCTCAAACTGAGGTATAGGTATGTCCAAATGAGTATGATTGCATATGTGCATGTGCTAGTTTCAAAGGCATAGGAAAAGTAAAAGTACATTATCTTCTGGTATCAACTTTATTTAAAATTTTGGGTAGTTTTGGGGTAGGGTTGTGATAATATATGTATATGTGTAGAGATTATGTTTATCAAGTCAAAGGAAAATTTTACGTAAAGTTTGAGGATAAAACAAAGGACTGCTGGGTATGGTGGTGCAGGCCTGAGTTCAAGGCCAGCCTGGGCTACATAGTGAAACCCTGTCTCAAAAAAAAAGGACTTCACAGAAATACTCTGCTGGGCTGGGGATATAGCTCAGCTGCACAGCACCTGCCTGGCAAGTTGAGGTCATGAGTTCAATTCCTGGTACCAAAAAAAGGAAAGAAATACTCTGCTATGCCGTAGTCTCTTTAGACAACAATAGACTCTGTTTTATCTTTGCCGAGACTTCAGTGAAGAAATTTGCAAAGTAGTGATTCAGAACATTCTTTCCTGGGTGCAGTTTTCTTTTCACTATTTTCCAAGATATAGCTCAATCACCAAGAAAACATGAATAAAGAAAATCTGTTATTTCTTAGTTACCAGCTGTGCTGCTGAAGAACTGGGATTCCTTTTATCTTGTGGCCAATAGCAGTTTCTCTTAAAATCTATGAAATGCCAGATTTTAATGCTGGGTTCTTCTTAATATAAAATGATGTCATGCTAAAGCTATTTTATAGATTTAAAAGACAAGAAAATATATTCTAAAATTAAAAACAATTTGAAGATGATACTTTGCTTGATGTAAAAAGAGAAATTCTGCTGGACACATTGGTGCGTGCCTGTTGTCTCAGGTCCTTGAGAGGCTGAGGCAAGAAGACCATACCAGGCTGGGTGGTCAAGGCTAGGTTGAGGCTAGCCTAGGCAACGTAATGAGATCTTGTCTTCAAAAAAGAAAAGAAAGTTCCTTTTAGGATTCCTCTGCCAAAATCCCCAATATTTGCCTCTATTAGCTATTGCCTTATTTATTTACATGGTAGTAACAAATAAAAACTCCTGTAAAATAATAAAATTCTCTTAACTGCCAAGAAGAAAACTCACAAAAACCTAGGATATTTGACTGTATACTTATTATTGATATAGAGGAAATGCTAGATGTCAAGTACACTGAGTTTATGTTCCCTGAAGTCAGAGAATGAATTCTAAGGAACAGTGGAGATTAAGAATAGGAAAATTTATTGGAGAAAAGGAATGGAAAATAGGAATAGCTCCTGAGAGGCAGAAGGGGTCCCAAATGTGTTGCCAATGAGCCCACCTTTCAAAGGAAGTTTTATAGAGCAAAATCATGAAGTGGGTACAGTGTGGGTCAAAATTATGATTAACCAACAAGGTTGCAAATATAGTCCCTTAGGTAATATTGATGTAATGGTAGCAAGGGCGCATGAGTGACATCCTTGGCCTTGCCTTTAGTCTTACAGTTTTAGTCTTAGTCTTAGTAGTTTTAGTCTTATTAGGTGAGAAGATGGCCTACCTCAAATGAGATAATGGGAAATCTCAAAAGGGTGATGCCAGTTACCCCAGACCTCTGTTCATCCCTTCAGGAAGCACGTAACTAGTCATTGTGACTTTAATCTTCAGAAGCACCTCCAGCCACAGTCCTGATGGATTCTCATCTTTTGCACTGACTCCGAGGGCCCATCCCTGTCCGAGTGCCCGCTATATTTCTACCTAACTTAGCTGTCTATAATATTATGATAGCCTGTAATTATCAATTCAAAGGACATAGCAATATAAAAAAAATACACTCACAAACTTAGTCATTACTTCTAGTCCTTGTAGACTAATACAGAAAAGCTATAGAGCAACAAGTTGTAGTTTTTCTAGCAAAGTTGCTTTGTCTTTTCTTTGAATATAGTTGGTAAGAGTATACACACATACAGTATACCACACATACTGCTGTCTGTATATAGTGTATGTGTTTATATACACACATTGTATGTACATATCTCCAGATGTCTCAGATGAGATAATCAAGGATGACAGAGTTAGGCCATTAGAAAAAGACAGATAGCTGCCCTATCAAAATGATTATTTTGAGTTTTTCCTCAGCAGCCTTTGCTGGTAAAGGCTTTCTTTTGCTTTCTGACTCTGAGGAAATGGTATGAACTCCCGCAGGAAAGTTTGCATCTCTTGGAGATGAGAGCCAAGGCACCACAAGGATCCTTAGATTAACATTTATGTATTACTCATGATACCTCTTTTCACCTTCCTTGTTTTGTTTTTGTTTTTTTTTTTTTTTTTTTTTTTTTTTTTTTTTTTTTTTTTTTTTTTTTTTTTTTGCTTTTTCTCCGGTACCGGGAACCGAACTCCCGACCTTATGCTTGCCAGGCAGGCGCTTTGCCGCTGAGCTAAATCCCCAGCCCTCACCTTCCTTGTTTTGCTAAGAAGCTTCTGATTAGTCCACAAGTATAAGGGCAAAATGTATATTGAAGTCTAAACTTGATGTTCACAACTTTAACAGGAAAACCAAGGTCATTGAAGTTGACAGCAAAGATACACTAAGTGACTTTGGATTTGGACTCTAACTTCAGAGTCAACTTCCCTTTCCACAAGCTAATTTTAGAGGACTGGATGGGGAGTGATTCATTCTTTATGGAAAATGGGAAGGGCAGACAAAACTATTAGGAACTATAACTATTTTAAAACTGAGTCCTGGAAATGATTGTTTTGGGAGTCCTCACTGCCTACCCTTTCTCCACTAAAGACTTTCCTTGCTGAAAACATTTCTTGAAACTCTTTGGTCTGTGGTTTTGTTTGTTTACAGTGATAGTTTTGTTGGCTGTTCTGAGGGGGTTTTTTTTGTTTGTTTGTTTTTTGGGGTGTTTTTTTGGTTTTTTGGTTTTTTGAGATAGAGTCTCACCATGTAGTTCAGGCTGGCCTTGAACTCACTGTGTAGCCCAAGCTGATCTTGACCCTCTTGCCTGAGCCTCCTAGTTACAGGTATGCTGGGATTACAGATCAGTGCCACTATGGCCTGCTTCAAGGGGCATTTAGAAGTATTTCACGTATCTTACCACTAATCCTTGGGTGTCATTAACACTGAACCATAAAAGCTTTTTTTTTTTTTTTTTTTTGAGGCAAGGTCTAGCCATGTAGTTCAGGCTAGCTTTGAACTCACTTTGTCTCCCAGGCTGGCCTTGACCTCATGGCAAACCTCCTACTGCAGCCTTCCAAGTGCTGTGATTACAGGCCTGAGCCGCCATGCCTAGTCCCATATAAGCTATTTTGAGAGAAAGTGAATTTTACTTTTTTTGTGCCACTGTCATCTAGCCATTTCAGTAATCTTTGCTGTACAGTTTCCTGAAGATATTTTTTAAAAACCAGTAAATGCCAGGAAGCCGTTTCTGACTATGTTCATGCAGTGTAAAGATACTAACTAAAGAGATCGATGAGGATGTGGTGAGCAGCCAACTTTTTTTCATTGTTTAAAAAAGTTGGGGCATAAAATCTTTGATTCAATGAGTTTATAGTTTAATATTACACTGCATCCATTTGAAATAACATCTTAACATCTTTCCTTTCATTCTCTGATGACCACATGGCTAGGTGAAAAGCTGCGAGTCCTTGGTTACAACCAGAATGGTGAGTGGAGTGAAGTTCGCTCTAAGAATGGACAGGGTTGGGTGCCAAGCAACTACATCACCCCAGTGAATAGCCTGGAAAAACATTCCTGGTACCACGGACCAGTGTCCCGCAGTGCAGCGGAGTATCTACTCAGCAGCCTAATCAATGGCAGCTTCCTGGTGCGAGAAAGCGAGAGCAGCCCTGGGCAGCTGTCCATCTCGCTCAGGTACGAGGGCCGTGTGTATCACTACAGGATCAACACTGCCACGGATGGCAAGGTGAGACCTGCCAGGAACCACCTCTCGGTGTGGACTGGCTGCCCTCTAGAAACCGTACTCAGACTGACTGAAATGGGCTGTAGATTCTAATGTCCAGTGAAATCAGATATTTGCTTTGTGCATTCAGGCTATTTGGCATGATAGAGAGACTTTGCTCTTTTCAAAAACAATACAGTCATTTAAATTAAAAACAAGTCTATTAAATTTAAAGATAAGCTAGATTTGAAGGTAATGAGGGAAACTTGTATATAAGTTAGCTGTTCTAATCATCATTTGATCTAATCATTGAGATACACAGTACATTGAGGTACTTACATAGTTGAAAATTAGAATGAGCTTTAATAGAAAGGTCACAGAATAAGATTTTAGACATTTTGAGACTGGTGTTGATCATTAATTTATGTCCATATAAGTAGATCATTGAGTCATTTAGCTGTTTGTGTGTTGGGAAGACCAACCCTCTGAGAATGAATGTGTTATGATGGAACTGTTCTATTTTATAAATTATAAAGCCTGAACTTGTGTCAGTTTCTCTTCTATTGAAGAAGGTTGAATCCTTTTTCCATTTTCCCCTCTGTGTGGTATGCATCTTAAGGAGAAAGCATGGGCTTTGGAGCAAGTGTTGTTCAACTTTGTGACCTTACATGAGCCTCAATTTCCCTATGATGAAATCCCACTTCCATAGAATTGTGTAGAGATCAAACGACATTATTTCTGTAAAACATAACTGCTGGTGCAAAGTAGGGCATAAGTAGATTACTAGTTCTCATTCCGTTTTTCTACCATCATACATACATATGTTGCCTTAAGGCTCAAATAGAATCATTAAGTCATCATGTAAGAGAGACTCAGCAGTTCCAACAGAAATGGTACATATATGTGCCAGAAGACGTGTACAGGAATGTTTATAGCAATAGGTAGTCCAAATTGGAAGCACCCAAATATCTAAGAATAGTAGAATGGATTAATAAATTGTGGTATATTTGGCCAGGCATGGTGGTGCACACCTGTAGTCCCAGCACTCATGAGGCTGAAGCAGGAGGATTGCTGCAAGTTCAAGGCCAGCCTGGGCTACAAAGTGAATTCAGGGCCAGCCTCATCTGTATAGTGAAACCCTGTCTCAAAAAGACACCCCCAACAGTGATATATTCATAAAATGGAATCTCTGACAACAATAGAAATAAACATAGAGTTCTACACAAACCACCACAGGAGAAACTATTACCTGCCAGTTGACTGCTTTTAGAAATAAAATTTTGTTGGAATACAGTCACGTTTGTCTATATATTGAATTTATGGCTTTCTAGTACTGGGCAGAGCTGGGTAGTTGCAACAGAGATCTTACAGCCACAAGCCAATAATATTTGTCTTTTCACTCTTTATAGAAAAGTTTGCTGGCCCCTACTGTAGATGAATCTCATACATATAAAATTGATTGAAAGGGATTAGTGATTGCCAGAGGGTTGGGACGGGAAGAATATGGGGCTAACTGCTGATAAGCATGGTTTTCTTTCTGAGGTGATGAAAATACTTGGGAGTATAGATAGTGGTGGTTCGACAGCTTTGTAAATATACTAAAAACGTACTGAATTGTTCAGTTTAAAATGGTGAATTTCATGATGTATAAATTATATTGCAATAAAAAAGTTGAGTGAAAGAAGACCTCAAACAGTACATATTGTTTTCACATGCATATGACTCAAGGAAAGCTAATCTAAGATGTTAACATTGAGTGTAAGCGTTACCTTTGCAGGAATAAGAGGCTTGTGAGGTGCAGGGGGCATCTGGGGTGCTGGTTGTGTTAAATCCTTGTTGTGGGTAATATTTCCATGCAGAGTTTATTTTTAAGCATCATCAGTTCTCCATTTGTGAATTGTATACTTGTGTGTGTACAGTGGAGCAAGTTTCTTTTTAAAAAGCAACAAGTTTCCTTGGAAGATAAATTTTATTTAATTAGATAAAAATTATAATTAAAATTGTAAAACCCTCCTCCTAACCACCCTCAAAGTCTAAACCAGTGGTTAGTAATTTATGCTCTCTGCAAGATTCTTAGTATTTTGTTTACTTTTGCAGTACACCAATCACTCTCACCTACTTTAATCAGAACATCTCTCTACCTTTCTTATATATTTGAATTTACAGTCCTGTTGCTAAGGAATTATTTGGAGAGCAGTGAGTTTGATGCTCCAGAGAGAAACACTGAAAGTTTTCCCCCCAAGTCTGAGTTAACTTAGGAAAAATAGGAAGGGTGGTTTAAATAAAATTGGATTGCAAATTCAAGCCCCGCCTGGGCAGTGTGGCAGCATAGTGAGACCCTGTCTCTAAATGAAAAAAATAAAAGTAAGAAAGGGGATGTAGTTCAGAGCAAGGCCTGCGGTTCAATCCCCAGAACGGCAGAAAACAAACTGGAGTTTTATCTTTCCCCTTGCCACCATCATTTACCTCAGTAAAGAAAACCTTCTGTCTTGATATCTTCAGGCCAGCGAAATCAGGGTTCTTTTCTTTTCCTTTTTTTGAAAACTGCTAATCTCTTTTCAAGTTACTTAGCCTGTTCTCCTTTTCTCATCAGGTGTATGTGACTGCTGAGAGCCGCTTTAGCACCTTGGCAGAGCTTGTTCACCATCATTCCACAGTGGCTGATGGGCTGGTGACAACATTACACTACCCAGCACCCAAGTGCAATAAGCCAACAGTCTATGGTGTGTCCCCCATCCATGACAAATGGGAAATGGAACGAACAGATATTACCATGAAGCACAAACTTGGGGGCGGTCAGTATGGAGAGGTTTATGTTGGTGTCTGGAAAAAATATAGCCTTACAGTTGCTGTGAAAACACTGAAGGTGGGTTGCTGAGAATTACAGTTTTCAGGCATCTTTTTGTGTGTGTGCTGAATCACTTGGAAATACCAGTCTGCCCTTTAACTTTGGGACTTCCCACCCACTGGTGCCAAACATCAGCAGATTGTGCTGATTAACCCTAGCGCACTTAGTGACAGTGCAGGGGTAGGTTATCACCAGTGCAGTAAAACCTACGTGTGGGAAAGGTTTGTCTCTGGAGGCTGTCAATGTAGATCTTAGTGGGAGTTTAGAAGCAAATTATGTTGCAAAGCAAAACAAGCTGTGTCGCTTCCTGAGAACGACCCCTGCTGGACAGAAATCTTTATGCATGTCTAGGAATCATGGGTGCTTTTTTTTTTTTTTTTACTGTTTATCTTCCTGCCTCTTGTTCCTCCAGTTTTCATGCAAGTAGATCACTTCTTGTTCTTAAATTCACAGAAGTCTCTTTCTTGACACTGCCCTGTCTCTTCTTTAAGCATCCTGGTATCAGATTACAGAGTTGTTCGCCAGGCTTCATTTCTTTCACTATGGAGGCTTCCATGGCTGTGCCACAGTTTGTGCTGCCTTGCAACCTACAGGAGTGGAAGATCCACAGGCAAATTGCTGGAAACCCAGTCAAAAATATGACTGAGTCCAACCCCAGCTGCACTAAGCAGGTCAACACCGTAGACATTATCTCCTGCCAAAAAAGCCAAGATCACATCACTGGAAAACAGAACCTAACTAAAGAGATCTTCATACCAACAACAAAGTGTCTTCACTCTATTTAACCTAACCCTCAGCACAAGAAAAGGAACATAAAAAAAAAATGAGGCAACAGAATCCTTTAAAGACTCCCAACTCTTTCAAAGCAGATCCAAGGGGCACTGATGAAAAGAAATCAAATATCAAATCACTAAGCTGTACAAAATCAAAGAAGCAGCAAAGAAAGTGTACTCAAATTTCACCAAACAGATAGTGGAACTAACAAATTGATCAATGTAGTTAAAGAGTCACATAAGAAATTGGAAGCGCTAAGCAAAACTATTTGATACATGAATGATAAGTTTACTAAAGAAATAGAGTTCATGAAAAGGTACCAGGTCTGGGCATATAGCTCAGTGGCACAGCTCCTGCCTGGCAAGCTCAAGGTCCTGAGTTCAAGTGCTGATACCAAAAAAAAAAAAAGCTACTAAAAGAATATTCTGGAGGAAAAAAATTCTGTTGAATATAAGAATAGCAGAAATGACCTGTATGGGGAAGGAGAGTGAGACATCGAAGATAGATTGGAAGCACAGCACAGTATACTCAGAGATACCTTAAAAACAACAACAAAGCAAGAAAAATTGATCCAATAATTATTAAATGATACTAAGACTAACATAAGACTAATTGAAGTTAGAGAAAAGTTAGAGGGCAGCACACGTGGAATAAAAAACTGGCTTACAGAAATCATAGCAGAAAACAAAGCCTGGAGAAGGAACTCAACATTCATGTAAATGAAGCATATAAAACTCCAAATAATTATGAAGAGAAAAGGAGCTCCTTACAGCACATAATAGTCAGAAATCCCAGAAATTCAAAATGAGGACAGAATCTTAAACTCAGAGAAGAACAGTGAATCACTGATAAAGGTAAATCTGTTAGGAGTGGAGCAAATTTTTCTACAGAAACTTTAAAAGCTAAGAGAGCTTAGAGTGAAGTGTTTCAAGCCGTAAAAGAAAATACCTATCAACTAGAGTAATATATCCTGCAAAACCACCTTTCAAAATCGAGGGAGAAATAGATCATAACACCCTGAAACTAGAAATCTATTCCAATAGAAACCACAGGAAGTTTACATTTACCTGGACATAAATAACACACTCCTGAATACTCAGTGGAGCACACAGAAAAAATTAAATAATGTCTAGAATCAAATTGTAATGCTAGTACAACATACCAGGATCTGTGGATACAACGAAAGCAGCCCTAAGAGCGAAGTCTGTTGTCGGGAATGCTCACATTAGAAAAGGAGAGCAAGTTGAAATAACAACCCGATGCTACACCTCACAGTCCTAGAAAAACAAGAGGAGTCTAAACCCAAACCCAGTATAGTGAAGGGAATCAGAAAGAGAAGAGCGCAAATTAATGAAATTGAGACTAAAAATACAATACAAAAAAAAAATCAATGGATTGAAGAGCTGGTTCTTTGAAAAATAAACAGAATAGATAAACACTTAGCTAAACTTAAAAAAGAAGGAAAAAGATCCACATTAATAAATTAGAAATGAATGGCTGGGTTTGGTGTAATCCTACCACTTGGGAGGCAGAGGTAGGAGGACCACCACAAGTTCAAGGCCAGCCTGTGCTACATAGCAAGATCCTGTCTCCAAAAAGAATTAAAAAAGACAAATCACAGTGGAGGACACTGCCCCAATCCAGAAGATCAGTAGTAAATACTATGAAAATTTATATTACAACAAAATGAGTATAGAAGAAAGGAACAGATTGCTAGATACATATGGGTTACCAAACCTGAACCAAGAAGACATAAAACCCATGGAGAGTCAAGTAATAGATAGTGGAGTTGAAGCAATAATAAAAAATCTACTGACCAAAAATACCAAGGACCCAGTGAATTCACCAGTGTATTCTAAAAGAACTTAAGGAAAGATAAAATGCCGATATGCCACAGAACTCTTTAATGAAATTGAAAGGGAAGGAGTACTTCTAATCTCATTCCTGGAAGCTACCATTACCCTGATTGCAAAACCGGACAAAGACCCAGCCGAAAAAGAAAAGTACAGGTCAATACATAGGTTAAAAAAATCTTTTAATAGGATACTGACAAGCAGAATGCAATAAATCACCAAAAAAATTGTACATCATGACCAAATAGGCTTTATCCTAGGGATGTGAGAATGGTTCAAAATCTGCAAATCAATAAATGTAATACACCACATAAACAAAAATAAGGAAAAAAGATCGCATGAGCATCTCAGTACATGTAGGAAAGAAAAAGGTATTTGCTAAATATTCCGTTTATTTTTAAAGCTGGAGTTGTAGGATTGTGAGTTGATTCAAAAGATTGAGAAAGGGGCATATTCCTCCTTTTTTTTTCCTTTCTTACCTTATCATTTTTCTAGGAAGATACCATGGAAGTGGAGGAGTTCCTAAAAGAGGCTGCAGTGATGAAGGAAATCAAGCATCCTAATCTGGTCCAACTGTTAGGTAAGGAAGCTGGAACCTTAGATTTCCTTAAAGATGTTTGTCCCTTAGCCCCTTGTTATCTTCAAATTCTCTTGAATTACAGTAGTGGAAACTCCAAGTTTAAGTCAGCTTCAATAAACAGTTATCATGGGCTGAAGATGTACTTGAGTGGTAGGCCACTTGCCTACATAAGTGAGCCCCTTGGTTGGATCCCCAGCACCACAAAAAGAACATTAAAAATCAGTAGTAGAGTGCTTACCAAGCATGCACCAGGCCATAGATTCAATCCACAGTACTGCCAAAAAAAAATACTTTACTCAGCTCTGTTTCAAACATAAAAACTGTGACCTGTGTTGATTCCAATACATAAAACTCCCCAGCTTATGGTGATTACCCCAGAACAAAGTTCAGAAGCATTTATAACCGTACCAAGGTGCTCACCATGGCAGCATATATGTTAAAATGGTACCAAGACAAAAACTGTCACAAAACATTCTCACAAAATAGGTGATTTTATAATGGAAAGAAGCAGGTTAAAAACTGTGACCACATGAGACTGGGGGTTTTAGCTCAGTGGCACAGCACCTGCCTGGCAAATGTACAGTCCTGAGCTCAATTCCTAGTATGCGCTCAAAAAATAAAAATTGTGACCACAGCCATAAGTTTACCTAAGCAAGCAGGAAGTGCTGTAACTGGAATAGATTAATTTATCTGTTCAGTTGAGAGAAACCTTTGACTAAGCCTTTTTCAGAATGGGCCACTTTCTTTGCCCTGTTCTCATTGAGCCAAACTGTCTCAAAGGAAATGGTTTATTGTTGGTTCTTTATAAGGAACTGTCATATATGAGTGAAATCCTTGTCTACAGAAATAGTTAAGATTTTTTTATAAGCATTACTCTAAGCTGGGCTCCCATGGGCTTCAGCACATGTGCAGCTGTAGTTACTTTCAGACAGCCATCATCAGCATGCAGCTAAGGAGGGGACTCGGGCGTGTACGGCCTCTGGAAATTTTAGTATTCTGGCCACCTTACAGAATTAATACAGGTAACTCTGCTTGTGCTCTGGCAGGCAAATACTCAAAGGCTTATGCGTTTTTAGAGAACAGTAGAATAGAAGCAAAGAATCCCCTTGACCAACTCTTAGTTTTTACTATATTGTATGTCATTTTCAAAGAATGTGATGGTAAGAAGGGGATAAAATTATTGCCTAAACGTAAGCATTGTCAAATTATTCTTGGCCAGAATGGACTATTTGAAGATATGCTAATAAAACAGGTTCTGCTATTGTTCTCCAGGTGTGTGTACTTTGGAACCACCTTTTTACATTGTGACTGAATACATGCCATATGGGAATCTGCTTGATTATCTCCGTGAGTGCAACCGAGAAGAGGTGACTGCAGTTGTACTGCTTTACATGGCCACGCAGATCTCTTCTGCAATGGAGTATTTAGAGAAGAAGAACTTTATCCATAGGTATGTAAAACCTGATTATTGCCTGCGATCGACTACAGAGCATCTTGCTTGACATAAAGATGATGGGAAGAAAACCTTCTCCATAACTTTCAGATGATTTAAGAAAGTAACTTTCTATTTCACAGGGCCTATTATAATGTTATTTCCAACTTGTGGACCACCTTTTCTGATACAAGTATTAATGAGGACCTTTTTTATTCTCAGTACAGGAAACTATCTCTGTTTTGCCCAGCACTGTATCCAAGATGCTTTTGCACCATCTGGTGGCTGAATTTTAAAAATAGCATTCTCTTTTACTAAAACATTTCAATCCTTGTAGAAAAGTGTCCTTTGCTCCTCTATCCCAATATACTAATACAGAGAAACCCATTTTGTAAAACCCTTGTTATTCTAGCATCCCATAACTTCCTCTTGATGACTATTCCACAGTGTAAATCAGTGGCTTTCTACCATGTTAGTGATTATCATAAAGTACTACGTTTGTCAGTACTTACTAACTCTGCTCATAGCACAAAGAACCAGGAATAGTGTATTCATGACCATTTTTCTTACCACCCGAATGGAATCACACTAGTTTTCTTTCCCACAGAGATCTTGCAGCGCGTAACTGCCTAGTGGGAGAAAACCATGTGGTAAAAGTAGCTGACTTTGGCTTAAGTCGACTGATGACTGGAGATACCTACACTGCTCATGCTGGAGCCAAATTTCCCATTAAATGGACAGCACCAGAGAGTCTCGCCTACAATACTTTCTCGATTAAGTCAGATGTCTGGGGTAAGATTGTAAGGGACCTTCTCCTGCGTATGTTATTGTTTCTTCTTGCCTCCCACCCCATCTTTTCCTCCCTCCCTTCCCAGCACTGTTGATTGAGCTTAGGGCCTTTACACTGAGCTGCATCATCACCCTTCCTTATTTTTTTGAGACAAGGTGTGCAGGCTGGGCTTGAATTTGAAATGTTTTTGCCTTGGCCTCTCAGAGTGCTGGGATTACAGGTGTGCCCACCATGCTCAGCTGTAAATCCCTTAATTCTTTGCAGCTTCCCTTTTATATGATGATCAAAAAAAATATTTTGGCTCAGCTTAATGTTACAGGTCTGTAGTCTCAGCTACTTGAGAGGCTGAAGCAGGAGGATTACTTGAGGCAACAAGTTTAAGACCAGTCAGCAACATGGCAAGATCTCGTGTCAATAAAAAGTCTGTGTCTTCAAAGAGGTCACAGTCTAGATTGCAGATCGAATTACAGTTCTAATGATTCTTTTTCTGTAAAGCTCCCCACTTTTTACATTAGGTTTTATTGCTCATTTGCAAAGCACAGTGACACAGAAAACTGTTTTCCAAGAAAGCATTATGGTAATTTGTCTTTGGAACTGTTCTTATTTATACTGGTCTGAGAGGCAGATTGACTTAGTAGAGGATTTCCAAACTGGACGAGTCACTGGGGCTGGGGATTTAGCTCAGCGGCACAGTGCCTGCCTGGCAAGCACGAGGTCGTGAGTTTGATTCCTGGTACTGGAAAAAATAAAAATAAAAATATAAACTGGACAAGTCAGGAAATTTGGGTTATGGGAAGTAGAAATAGTTACAGGAGTCTAATCTTTTTTTTGGGTCTTTTTGAGACAGGGTCTTGCTATGCAGTTGAGGCTGGCCTTGAGCTCACTTTGTAGCCCAGGCTGATCTTGAACTTGCAGTGATCCTCCTGCCTCAGCCTCCCAAGTGCTGGGATTACAGGCGGTTGCCACCATGCCTGGCTCATTTTTTAGTAGAAAGCTACTCAGAGATAATGGAAGTGTGAAAATCAAGCAAAAATTTTTTTGCTGTGAACTTTATCTGATTTTAAATGAGTTAGTTTTTTGTTTTACTCCTCAGATATTAGTTGACTTTGAAATCATAAAACTGTAGTCCCAGCACTTGGGAGGGAGAATGAGGTAGGAAGATTGCCGTGAGTTTAAGGCCAACCTGGGCTACATAGTGAATTCAAGGCCGGCTAGACTATATAGAAAGACCCTCTCTCAAAAAGCAAAACCAACCAAATAAACAAACAAAAGATTGTAAAACTCAGCTGGGTGTGATGACACACACCTATAATCCCAGCACGCGGGACACTAAGGCAGGATGATCACGTGAGTCTGAGGCTGGCCTGGCCTACATAGCAAGTTCAAGGCCAGCACAGACTATACAGCAGGACCTTGTCTTGAAATAAAAGCAAAATAAGACAAAAAACTCATAAAATAGATCAATGGGAGTTTTAAGATTCGTTGGATTATGCCACTGACTTTTTATATGATCATAGTGTATTTTCCCCTCATTATAGTAAAATAAAAATTAGGATGTTTACAGAAAACTGCCTCTGTTCGCAGCATTCCTGTGGGAGACATCTTAGCCAGTTCACGCGAAGAACTGGTAAAAGGGCATGTTAATATTGTAACAGTGTTTGACTGTGATCCAGATTTTAAAGACAAGATGATATAAATGTTATGATATAAATAATAAGTGGTATAAATAATAAATCATAAGAAACATTAGGCTCTCTTTTTTCTTAATCCCTTATGCAGCTTTTGGGGTACTGTTGTGGGAAATTGCTACATATGGAATGTCACCATATCCAGGTATTGACCTGTCTCAGGTCTATGATCTGCTGGAAAAAGGATATCGAATGGAACAGCCTGAGGGATGCCCCCCTAAGGTTTATGAACTTATGAGAGCGTGTGAGTATTTCTGCATGTTTTAATTTTGAAACACCAGCAAGTTGGGATGATTAGCAAAATTGGAAACACTTTTCCTCTGTTGTTAGATTGAATTTAACCTCATGACATTTAAGTAGTTTGTTATTGATCAGCTAGCTGGCATAGTATATTATACACCATTAAGTCTTCCTGGAATCCTAAAAATAGTTGTCTGTGGCCAAATATTTATCTAGTTTCTGGAAAACATTTGTATAATAATAAGATAATAAATTGGATTTGCATACTAAGGCACGGGAGGACTACTTTCAGCTAAATAAGAACGATTGCTAAAGACTGGAGAATGTGTAAAAGTAAGCTCTGTGATAAGTAAGCAAAAGCATTGGACTGCTGAAGATGAGAAAGTGGGAAGTTGAGCAGTAATTGCAGTGGTATGTGAACAAAAGTTTTATACTATTTTCTCATTGAGCATTGGCATCTGTCAGTGTGAGCTCTTAAGTGTCTTTGTGATTCCCTATTGAATTATGGATATGTACACTTGATTCTTTGTTATAAAGTCAGACTGGGGCAGACTTTATAAAATTTGAGGACAAGTTTTTTAAATTTCATTTCTACTTTAAAAAAAACAAACAAACTTGCCATTATAAAAATCATTTCCTGGGCTGGGCATATAGCTTAGTGGTACAGCGCCTGCCTGGCAAGCACAAGGTCCTGAGTTCGATTCCCAGTACCAAAAAAAATTAAAAAATAAAAATCATTTCCTTACCTTTCCTTATCCTTATAGTAGAGGGAATAGGAACCAAAGGCCAGCTTTAGGAAGTGAGTTCTTACGCTTCTAAATCTAGAACTGAGAAGCAGCTCCATCACTCCCTGAATGAATATTCTATAACTTACAAGCATACATCATGAGCCGGGCATGGTGGTGCACACCTGTAACCCCAGCACTCAGGAGGCTGAGGCAGGAGGATCATTGAGAGTTCGAGGCCAGTCTGGGCTACAAAGTGAGCTCAAGGCCAGCCTGAACTGTGTAGTGAGACCCTGTCTCAAAGAGATAAAAAAAACAAAAACAAAAAGAGCATGCATCATGACGCATGGACCTCATTATTTAGTATGCTGCTGGATGTATATAATTCTGGCAATGCGCTTTGAAGACTATTATCTGTCATACAGGCTGGAAGTGGAGCCCTGCTGACAGGCCTTCTTTTGCTGAAACCCATCAAGCTTTTGAAACCATGTTCCATGACTCTAGCATTTCTGAAGGTGAGCATCTGGTGAATTTACTGTTGGTAGGTAGTATGTGCAGGTGATAATCACATTTCAAAAACGGTCAGCTTCTAGAGTTTGTGATTCTGTTTCAAGATTCTACATTAATGGTTGGCCTCCGTTCTGTTGTTGCTTTCTTGCCCTTTTTGAACTATCTTATTTCTGTCTTGTATATTTAATGTTGAAATTACATTTTTATTAGAAATTAATTCATTCTCTCCATAAGAAAAATTAATGTTTGATAGTTCTTAGCATTTATGATATAAGGAAGAAAAGAGGAAAATAAACAGTATAAACAATATTCTCGGGCTGGGGATATAACTCAGTGGCATAAGTGCCTGCTTGGCAAGCTCAAGATCCTGAGTTTGATTCCCAGTACCAAAAAAAAAAAAAAATTGAGATTAAAAAATATTCTCTCCAAACCACATCAAGACAGAATCAAGTTACAAAAACAGTATCTAGAAATGTTATTTCTGGAAATTTATTTAAGGATATAATTAAGAGAATGAAAGTATGACAGTGTACTTTGTAATATTAACTAAGGGCAACTTAAACATCTAGTGGGCTGTTAACCATTATAACTACATAATTGAATATCTAAAATTTTTAGTATAATTGATTAATATAATTGATTATATTAGGAGGGAAGGAGGTTTAGAATAAGATGCGCTATCAGCAGAGATGTGTTTCCTTTCCTTCATAATTGAGCAGAGCAGGCTATGTTCCAGTTTTAAAATATTCAAAGAGGAAGTCAGGCAAATTGAATTTTGTCTGCTTCCCTTAGTGATTTATCAGATAAGGGTACATCAACTAAGAAAAAAGGAAAAAGAGAAGTACAGTATCAGAGCTTAATGAAAAATACTTTCCCTTCAATAATATTGCACTTGTATAGGTTGAGGAGATCACAGCTGGCCTTTGGGGCACATGAGGGCACATGCCTGTCACAGTACTGGCCTTCTGTCACTGTACTGGCCTTCTATATGCTTTATTTCCTATGGAATCAAAGTGCTAGAAATGGTGAACATCAGCCAGAACGTAGGGTCCATTTTACTTTCGCGTCAGCTGTACTTTTACATCAACTTCTAATCTCTCATGTGTCCTTAGTTTAATATTTCTGTTTCTCTTAAAAATGAACCCTTTTTGCTGGATGTGGTAGTGCATGCCTATAATCCCAGCATTTGGGAGGTTGAAGCAGGAGAATCACTATGAGTTTGAAGGCAGCCTGGGCTACATAGTGAATTCAAGGCCAGCATGAACTACATGGTGAGACCTTGTCTAAAAAACAGAACAAAACAAGAATCCCTTCAGAACACCAGCACATCAATTTTTAAAGACTAGTTTCAATTGAAAATTATTTTGAAAAGGAATGTAAAATTATTAAACACACCTTTTATTGATCATTTCACGTGGGGCAGCCACTATACTAGGTCAAGAGACACAGATAAGACATACTCCCTTGTCTTGGTTAACTTTGCTGTTGCTGGACAGCAGGATTCCTGACATCTGCAACTTAAAGGAGGAGAAGTTTATGTGACTCGGGTGTCAGAGGTTTCAGTCCATGGCTGTTGGGTCCAAGGCAGAAACACCACAGCAGAAGAGCACAGCAGAGCAAAGCTGCTTAATTCATGGTGGCTGGGAAGCAGAGCAAGGAAACAGCACCAGCAAGAGATACATCCTTTGAAGCACGCCTCCACCTAGACGTGGCCACAGGTGTACTTCACTACTCGGCTTGGTGCTTCCTCATCTAGTCAAGTTGGCAGTCACAATTAACGATAATTCATGTATCCCTATATTAAAAAGCATGTATTAATTAAATGTAAGCCAAAGAAAACTAACTCAAGCTTTCGTAAGCAATAAAAGGAAGGTTTTTTGGCTCATAACCAAGCTGTGGAAAATAGAGATAGTTGACGCCATGGACTCAAGCAGCTTTCCCTCACTCCACCCCCGCCAGTTTCCATTTACTTCTGCTTCTACATTGGGCATCCTTAGAATCTTCCAAGTGGGGTGGGACATAGTTGCCAGCATTGTTGAGGTCATATCTTTTTTTTAGCCTTTTTGAGACAGTGTTTGCTATGCAGTTCAGGCTGGCCTTGAGCTTACTTTGTAGCCTAGGCTGGTCTCGAACTTGCAGCAATCCTCCTGCATCAGCCTCCTGAGTGGTGGGATTCAGGCGTGCACCACCATGCCCAGTTTAGCAACATACTTGTACTAGTTAACAACTGGAATGAGCCTAAATATCAGAGAACAGATGAATTTTAGTATAGTCACACATTTAAGTACTACACAGCAATGAGAAAGAAACCCCTGTACTTCTACAAACATAATGTTGAACAAAAGAAGCCAGACAAAGGAATAAATACTCTGTAATTCCATTGTTAATTAATTAATTAATGGGTGGCATCTCACACTGTTGCCAGGATGGCCTTGAATTCCTGGGCTCAAACAGTCCAGCCTCAGCCACCCAAGTAAGTGGACAAGAGGCACGAGCCGCTGCGCCTTGTTGCTGCATTTCTGTACTATCCTGCACTCCATTTCTTTCTCAGTTTTATATCTTTTCTGAAAAGAAGGACTTCTCTGTCATGAAACTGTTTCTATCAGTGCTGTTGTCTTCTTCACAGAAGTGGCCGAGGAGCTCGGGAGAGCTGCCTCCTCCTCGTCTATTGTTCCATATCTGCCCCGACTGCCAATACTTCCTTCCAAGACTCGGACGCTGAAAAAACAGGTGGAGAACAAGGAGAACATTGACGGGGCGCAAGATGCCACAGAAAATCCTGCTTCCAATTCAGCACCAGGTAAGGCTCGCTAGGCGTGTAGATGAAAGTAGAAACTGCTTATGGAAAGAGCTCGGGATTGGGTTCTTCTGTGGCTGTCTTCCCTGAGGACAGTGTGGCATCTGTTTCACCTCCCAGTCTACTCCTTGGCCACACGTGGCCCACGCTACTAGTCCTGATCTATCAGTCCAGCATGTGACTCTGCCCCTGCTCCATTTCCTCACATTCTGGCTTCCGTAATGGTTTTCGTTTTTTTGTTTTGTTTTGTTTTGGTTTGTTTTTTTTCCAGTACCGGGAATCAAACTCACGACCTTGCGCTTGCCAGGCAGGCGTTGTGCCGCTGAGCTAAATCCCCAGCCCACATTCTGGCTTCCAAATAGTTACTATCTTCATCGTTCTGGCAAAAACTTCTTCTTCAAGTCTAATAGTTGTGGCCAGTTGTGTTTATTTTTAGGGGAAGGTTAACCACTGAGGTCATAAGCGGCAGATCACCCCCCCATTTACATGTACATGCCATTTGGAATGCTAACTACGATAATTATTCATTCCCCCCCTCAAACACTGCCAACACCTAAAATTTAATAGATGCCTATAGAACTTTTATAATTCCACCTTAGTCATTCTAATGGATTCATTTCTTGTCTTTCACATTATTGATCGCCCATTTTTCATCAGGGTTCATTAAAAGTGCACAGACCATTGGGTCCCCTGCCCTGCCTCGAAAACAAAGAGATAAGTCACCCAGCAGCCTCTTGGAAGATGCCAAAGAGACATGCTTCACCAGGGATCGGAAGGGAGGCTTCTTCAGCTCCTTCATGAAAAAGAGAAATGCTCCCACACCCCCTAAACGCAGCAGCTCCTTCCGAGAGATGGAGAATCAGCCTCATAAGAAATATGAACTCACGGGTAACTTCTCATGTGTTGCTTCTCTACAGCATGCTGATGGGTTCTCTTTCACTCCTGCCCAGCAAGAGGCGAATCTGGTGCCACCCAAGTGCTGTGGGGGGAGCTTTGCCCAGAGGAATCTCTGCAGTGACGATGGTGGGGGTGGTGGGGGCAGTGGCACTGCTGGGGGTGGGTGGTCTGGCATCACAGGCTTCTTTACACCTCGCTTAATCAAAAAGACACTGGGCTTACGAGCAGGGAAACCCACAGCCAGTGATGACACTTCCAAGCCTTTTCCAAGGTCAAACTCTACATCTTCCATGTCCTCAGGGCTTCCAGAGCAGGATAGGATGGCAATGACCCTTCCCAGGAACTGCCAGAGGTCCAAACTCCAGCTGGAAAGGACAGTGTCCACCTCTTCTCAGCCAGAAGAGAATGTGGACAGGGCCAATGACATGCTTCCAAAAAAGTCAGAGGAAGGTGCTGCTCCAACCAGGGAGAGACCAAAAGCTAAACTGTTGCCCAGAGGAGCCACACCTCTTCCTCTGAGAACCCCCTCTGGGGACCCAGCCATTACAGAGAAGGACTCTTCAGGGGTAGGGGTGGCTGGAGTGGCAGCTGCCCCCAAAGGCAAGGAGAGGAATGGTGGGGCACGCCTTGGGATGGCTGGAGTCCCAGAGGATGGAGAGCAGCCAGGCTGGTGTTCTCCAGCCAAGGCTGCAGCCGTCCTCCCTACTACCCACAACCACAAAGTGCCAGTCCTCATCTCACCCACCCTGAAACATACCCCAGCAGACGTGCAGCTCATCGGCACAGACTCTCAGGGCAATAAATTCAAGCTCTTATCTGAGCATCAGGGCACATCCTCTGGAGACAAGGACCGACCCCGACGGGTAAAACCAAAGTGTGCCCCACCCCCACCGCCAGTGATGAGACTACTGCAGCATCCGTCCGTGTGCTCAGATGCCACAGAAGAGCCTCCTGCAGGACAGCCTGTGTCAGAAACACAGGAAGGAGGGAAGAAGGCAGCTCCAGGGGCAGTGTCTGCAGGTGGGAAAGCTGGGAGGCCAGTGATGCCTCCGCCTCAAGTGCCTCTGCCCACATCTTCCATCTCGCCAGCCAAAATGGCCAATGGCACAGCAGGTACTAAGGTGGCTCTGAGAAAAACCAAACAGGCAGCTGAGAAAATCTCAGCAGACAAAATCAGCAAAGAGGCTCTTCTAGAATGTGCTGACCTACTGTCCAGTGCAATCACAGAACCTGTGCCCAATAGCCAGCTGGTAGACACTGGGCACCAGCTGCTCGACTACTGCTCAGGCTACGTGGACTGCATCCCTCAGACTCGCAACAAGTTTGCCTTCCGCGAGGCTGTGAGCAAACTGGAACTCAGCTTGCAGGAGCTGCAGGTGTCTTCCGCAGCTGCTGGCGTGCCTGGGGCAAACCCTGTCCTTAATAACTTATTGTCATGTGTACAGGAAATCAGTGATGTGGTACAGAGGTAGCCACTGTCCGCCTAGTGGGAAGATGCACACATTTCTGAGGGGAGAGGGAAAGGGAATTGTTTTCCTGTGTTCTTGTTTTCAAGTTGAAAGACTGATACTTGAGTGTGTTTATGTGAAGTACCTCAGACCCCTGAGTTCTCACATTTACAGGTTCATCTCAAAAATAACAAGCAAATCACACTAAAAGGAGGTGTAAATTGGGTGGGGGCAAGGCAGTGGCAGACACGGCAGGAAACTGCTAGAAAAACAGGGAGTGTGATTGTTTCATAAAGAAAGAAGTGCAGCCCATCCATCCCTACCTGGAACCGTGTGAGGTGCTGGACTGGGCTACTCCCAGTCATTCTGCACCACAAGAGAGCCTTGGGCTGGGGCTCTGAGGGCACCAAGAGTGATTGTGCTCCCAGTTACCTAGCAGGTGGCAGTGGGGCGGAAGAAAGGAAAGCTGGGAATATAGCAAGAGGTTTGTCCAAGGCTGTTGGAAGCTGCTTCTTGCCTTGCTTCCACGGGTCATTACTGTTGGGTCAGAGCTGCAGATCAGATTGCTAGGCTATGAAATGGCAATACGGCCCTGTCTGTGTTTCCCATCATGTGTTCATTGGTGCAGGAAATAAAGAATGCTGGGACATTCAGTCAGGAAGATAGAAACTTCCCTTTAAAATCGTATATTGATTAGCAGTCATTTCTCCCAATCTAATATATTATTTCCTAATGGACCAGTATTGATTTTCTGCTTATTGGTGGCTATCTGTAAACCATAGGTACAGGGGTCTCCTTGGTGGGTCTCTGTCGCTTGCTGGGCAGGCTGCCTTCCTTTATTTCTGGCAGCATTCAGGGCATTACCCAACATTGATTTTGAAAATAGTGGTCACTACAAGTTGTCATAGGGAAGTCTTTTCTGACACAGTGCCCCTGCTTACTGACATACTGGCGAAGGACTATGTCAACTACAGTGCAGTACCAAGCTGATGATCCCTTCTTGAAACTGTGCAGCTGGGTGCAGAGGCCTATGACTGAGAAGTTGGCTTGGTGATAACGGCTGTTTCCCTGTTCTTTCTCCTCCTTTATCATCTTAAGCCCAATGTGCATAGACAGTTGGGGAAGGTGTTCTTTCGCCTCTCAAATTTCTCTTCTCATGCCCATCATGTTTGTTTGTACAGTTCATATTGGGGATATTCTTTTATTTATTTTGTCATTTCACCTCTATTCTAAGAGTTCATAATTTAAGGAGTAGGTCATTTTCAGGGAGAACAGGTTAGATCCTGGCAACCTAATGACTTAACCCTTAAGTATTTTTTGCCCTTGAAAAATAGGCCTTTTCCGTTCCCTACTCGGTTATAATTATGGAAGCTAATTAGGAAGGAACTGAATTGAGTAGGTTATATGTTACTGATGTTCTAGGTGGTATATCTAATTTTAGTTGCTTCGTTCTTTTTTTTAAAGCTTTATACCCCCCAGACCACACATACACACTCCTAAAGAGAAGCCAGTGAAAATGCTTTTCCTCCCAAAGGATTATTAGCATAGGAAGATAGGGACTCAACACTGAGCATTGAGCTTTCTCCCTGGCTCTGTCTTCGATCCACTGTCAAGCTATAGCACCGTCTCTTAATCTAGGAAATGAAAGTAACCGTACATGTTCTCAAGGGTGTTTTGCAAATAAATGTATTCACTACTGCTTTGAAAGCCTCTCTCTAAAAGCCCTTCAGTGCAGTATTGTTATGTTGAATTGTTTAATCATTCTCTTCTTTGCTGAGTAATAGAAGAAACTAATGAAATTTGGAACTGCTGACTTTATAGTAACGGGGCTAGAATGCTAAAGGGGAGCCAGGCATGATGGTGCACACCTGTAATCCCAGCACTCGGGAGGCTGAGGAGGGAGATTGTATGAGTTCGAGGCCAGCCCGGGCTACGTAAGTGAGTTCAAGGCCAGCCTGAACTCCATGACAAGACCCTGTCTCCAAAAAACCTTAAAAAAAAAAAAAAAAAAAAAGGGTGAAACTGTTTTGGATAGAGTTTGGAAACTATATTTGGATATCTTAGACCAAGGAAGAACTTGTTTTCATTGAAAAGAAAGGAAACTTTGATTCTTCTTATCACTGCTGCTTCAAAGGAGGCCCAGGTAAAAGAAGGATTAGAAGGGAGGACACTGCTGGGCATCCTGGCGGGTGTCACGTGACCCCGTCAGCATGCTGCCTGTAGCTGCAGTACAGGCAGCTGGGGACCAGTTGAATCTCCAGCAGTCCTCCCTCCCGCCTTCCTTACCTTTCCCTGCATCACACCATGAACTTGAACTTACTGTTAGCAGTTAGTCTTTTAAAAGTAGGGAGGGGAAGCTAAAATTTTAGGATATTATTATGCTGCTTTTTAAATTTATCCCTGTCATCATGGGGTGCAAAGGGATTATAATTGTTTTCAGGGGATTTTTTTTTTTTTTTTTTTTTTTAATAAGCAAGGGCTCTGGTTTTTTTCCCCCTAAGAGTTCTGAAAATAAACCTTGGGGAAACACTACTGAGTGTCTTTCAGCTCCCAGGTTTTCTCACCGAAGAACAATCTTAAAGGTGGTAGGTAGGGGCTCTGTCTTACTCAGGGGCAGCACCTAGTTCTGTCTTGCACACAGTGGGTGCTCAATAAATTCATAAATTGAGTTGATTTTTCTGAACACTGTCATGAGTAATATTAAGTATTACAGCACACTCCATCCACATGATGCTTGAACTGTGTAACTTCAGGGGTTAAAGGTTTAGAGTTAGGGTTAAAGGGCACTGTCAACTTGCTATAAAAGTGTGATTTAGGTTTTTCCTTTTTTCTACTTGAAAAGGACTAGCTTCAAAAAAAAACCTTATGTAAAAGAAAATGTTTAAGTCTAAAACAGAAAACTGCTTCTAGAAACTTGTAGTTTAATTGTATCCAGTCTGAAAGCAGAAAGCAAGAAAAAAGGCTTTTGTACAGGGTGCTGACAGATTTGTAAAGTGGAGATATATATAAAATATGTGCCACAGTCTGAGTCTTTTCATGTACAGGTAGTATGATTACAGTTTCGATTTCCTACCTTAAGAATGCAGTGTTTCACGTTGAATACGTCTTGATTGTACTTGACACAAAGTATTCTCTTAAAAGACTGTATAAAGTTAAAATATTTATTTTCCTGCACACCCTAATCATGACTTTCAGAGTTTTAGCCTTAAAAAACTCTCTTAAAAGATTTGTTTTGCACGTTCTTACAGTACCAAGCTGCCAGGTCCTTTTTGCATAAATGCAGTCATTGTTTTTCTGATAACCTCTGTGTAGTGGAGACCCTTTGCCAGCACTCAGAGAGGCTGATACAGGAGGATTGCAAGTTCAAACCCAGTCTGGGCAACTTAGTGATTTATTGAGACCCTGTCTCAAAATAAAGGGATTGGGATACTGCTCAGTGCAAAGGCTCTGAGTTCATTTCCCTGTACTGTAAAAAATGAGTGAATACAAGTTTAAGTTAGGAATTTTCTTACAATTCAATTAAAAAGTGGCTAGTAAAATAGTTTTCAATTAGCCGGGCGTGGTGGTGCATGCCTGTAATCCCAGCACTTGGAAGGCTGAGGCAGGAGGATTATTTCGAGTTCAAGACCAGGCTGGGCTACAAAATAATCTCAAGGCCAGCCAGAACTTCATAGCAAGACCCTGCCTCCAAAAAAAAAAAAAAAAAAAAAACAGTTAATAAAATGTGCTGACTTTGCTATGTCATAACCCATATTTATTTAACTAAAGTCACAGAGCTTTTTGAGTTTAAGGAATGCAGTTTAGATACTGGTTTGGAGTTTAGGCTGTAAAGCCAATCTAGAAGGCAACATTTTTAACCTGCCTGAGCCTCCATTTCCTCGTTGTAACACAGGGATAAATATTCACTACCTCAGGGTTGTCGTAAGGATTAAATGAAATAAAAGGTTGTAAGATTCTTAGCTCAAGTGCCTGGCACACAATGAGCACTCCATAAATGTTAGCTATAAATTATTAATACCTAATCCAGGAATGTACAACAAAACCCCCTAAGGGTTTTTAAAGAAAAATGGATGAAGTAGCCCCCCTCCAGATCAGAAGTAACAGTGGGATGAAGTCTTGGCCAGTTGTTTTCCAGGAATCTCTCCATGTGTTTCAGAAAGCTCACATTGTCTGAAAACGATGGATACCCTTTTCTTAATAGATTATGAAACCATGGGAGAAGATGGTTAAGTTACGCGCCCGTTATCTCAGAAGAGTCCGTTAGTGACTGAACTGAGGTTAGAATTCAGGTCTCCTGACTTCTGGTTATGGGGTCTTTCTGCCATACCTGCTGCTTTGTGAAACACTGCAAAAAAAAGTGGCTCAGATGGACAATCAGTCTGCAGTCTGCACACTTTCTAAAGCACACGCTCCCAGCACACTGTAACCTTAAGGGGCTTGAACGTTGAGTAATGGCAACACTAGCAAAACAAGCATTCGGGAGAACTCAGTACTTTAAAAAAATTACAAGGGGTCGTTCTTTTGGACTGACCTCAGCAACACAGAGTCTTGCACTTTGTAGTAAAGGAATACCAACTTAAATTTAAAAAACTACTACATTCCTTTTTCTTAAAATACAATTCAGTATCATTTTAGTGACTGTGAGGTAGTGTACATGGAAGCACTTTGAGAGAGTATCGGATATAGCTATAAAGTTGTACCGTGAGTGTCTGTGTAGAGGATAAAACATTTGATTAGATGATGATTGACCTGAAGGCCTTTACCTGTGGGGGACCTGGAACTGCAGATATATAAAGAACCACCTCTATAATTTATCACATTTATAAATATGAAACCTTAGTGTTGTGCTGAAGTTGTTCACAGCTGAAAAGCCTCAGAAAAATGGGGACCAATTTTTTGGTATAATTCTGATCTTTAAAAAAGCAGTAAACTATATTCATTTCAGAATACAGAAACTCTTCCAAGGACCTTGAGTCAAAAGGCTGAGGCCCTTTTACTCTTGAACACTTCTCCCTACGTGGTCAGCCCTTGGAACCCTAAATGTGGTGTGGGCAGACTTGTTACCTGTTGGTGTTGACAGTGTCTTTTTAAACCTATGTCCTGCGTGGCTTTGTGAGGGCAGGGTGAGGAGATAGGGAAGGGGGCTGGATGGACATAGAACCAGTACACTTGGATTTTTACTCTTCTCGGATTTCTTACCAGCCGTAAATGGCATCGACATTTATCATCTGTGCTATCTTTATTCAGGGATGAGTAGCTGAACTTAATTCACCTATTAGATTATGAAATACTGAAGAATAAACAACGGTGGTGGCCACTTTTGAGTTACAGCTACACTTCATCCTGACCTCTCGTTCCTTTCCATTTTTGCTACTAATATCATTGTCATTATCAGGCTATGCCCTCAACAGGAGTTCATATTGGGCTGCAAGGGTTATCTGTATTTTCGTTCCTGATAACTTTTGGGTGTCATCATCTTGCTTGCATTAACTTGCACCACCTGGCTCTGGGGTCCGTCTCTGTCCAAAGCATGTAACGGCCAGTCCTTCTGTAGGTAGATCTCTGGGCGTAAGTTTCCTCTCACGTGTTGCTAGACTCCCACTGTCTGTATCTCTGCCTTAGCTTCTGCCAAGCCGGTAGCTTAGCGCCTTTGAAAATTCCTGCCTCAGTTTGGAATTTGTGGGCAACTCCAAGGGAGCCTCTGCCTCGCTGCCAGGCTTGACATAGGCAGCCCAAAGGCACCTGTACCTTCCCTGTGACAGCTGGGGAAACTGCTGCTAGCTGTAGCCTCACAGTCAAGAGGTGAGGCCTTGGTTTAAAATCTGTTCTTAACAGTCAGGGTATGTTCATCTTTGGTTTTCTAGTGACTAGACTTTAAAAAATCTAATGCAGGACTGGCCTTTCAGGGGGCGGGAGAGTCAGTAGTGCTGGAGTAACAGTTAGCTGCCCTGTTCAGCACAACTGCAGTTGCCAAACTTCACTGCCATTCACTCTGCACCTCTGTTCCTAGGGAAGCACGGGTGGGTTTCGAGGCTGCCGGTCAGGCTGCTGCAGAGCAGCCGCCCAGGTGAGACTCAGCTCCAGCTTGTCTTTGGTAAGGCTTACTGTAAGGTCCAGACAGGAGTTTCTGTTCTGGCGCTGCTGTTCTCTGCCCCCCGCCTGAGGTGCATGGTCTGTCTTAAGTGTATTCAAGATGAGAGTTCCATGTCTGACTTACTATCTTAGATCCAAAGGCCAGGGATTTAGAAAGGGCTCTGCCCTTTGTAATCAGGGTAGGAAGTTTCTCTGCTTCTCCCTGGGTAAGGAGGCCTAGAGCGAGTTAGCTTGATTCTAAGAGAGAAGTCACCTGCAGCAATGTGTGCCTTCAAAGATGGCTTCCTGCGTCTTGCAAAGTCTTGTCTGCTGGGTTGATTTTGCGTTAAAGTAGTGAGTTAGGTCTGGTAGAAATGCACTTCATTGGGTCTCCGCCTGTGTCAGTGACACCCCCACTTGGGTGTTTTCCTCACACAGTGCTGACTAGGAAGATTGCTACGCTTTTCTCAGTCCCATCTGGAGCGCTGAGGAAAGGATGCTGTCACGGGTTCCTTCCCTCCCACCTTTCAAATGCACTTACTTCTTTGTTCCTGTGTACAACATCCGTACATTTGGAATGTTTTCCTCTCCTATGGTAATTGTATCTTTTAGCTTCCCTACTGCTGAGCAGCCTGAACAC